TATATATATATATATATATATATGTCTATTTATTTATTTAAAAAAAGTATATATAAGTACTTCACAACTATAAAGTCATGATAGCATTCTCTAGAGTTGTAAAATGATTTAGGAATATATCCTAAATATCGAGGACGTAGTTTCAGAAATTTATGACGTAATCTGATCTTGCATGAGGCTCATTTTCCTTCCCTCAGCGCTCAGTGTGCGACCAGCTGGTGGTAGCGGTAACGCATAACAGCTGTCAAGGTACATATGAGCTACTTCTTCTACCAAACACTTATCTGGTACAGCGGATGCCATGCCTATAGCAAGATGCTACTTGAATTGCAAATTCCCATCAAAAAAAAAAATGATACCGACATTAGAAGTCATACTCCTCAAAAAATATTGATACGAAAACAATAAACAATTATTTTAGAGAATGGAAAAAATAATCTGATGACCATAAATTGCAGCAGTCCTCGACTGCTGACTGAATTCTGGATTTGAAACCAAATCCTCACATGCCACATTTAGTTCACGAAGAAAATCCTCTACAACACCTGGTTTTGTATGATTCAATGTAATACATATATTTAGCCTGAAAAATATATGATCTAAAAATGTAAAACCTTCCAATAAAACAGTCTGTTGTAGAAGCGGAACAGAAAACCTCTCTGGAAAACCTTTCTGACTAGCTTATACAAACAGCAGTTCCGTCAAAAACTAGATAAATGCTTACGCAGGAGGATTTTGAAGCGTGGATAGGAACCAACCCAACTTGTTCATACGATCAGCTAAAGCGTAAACGTTGAAACCCTTAGCAGTAAAAGCAATAGTTGCAACATCCGAATCTCCAACTAACTGCAGATGAACACATTTTTCAATGCCATCTTTCATCTTCCGTACTGTTTTAATAATGGCTTCCATGCGTTCTGTATAACTAAACAATAGAGCACTGAGATAAAAATGTAATTGTATTAAACATTTAAAACAAGAACTAGGAAAAAGATGAACTATTACCATAAACAATGCATAATTAAAAATACGATTTACTAAAAAAAAGAAACAAATTATGGAAATAATTTCATTCGATTATGCATCAATAACAAAGAAAAATAGATTTTCATGTAGTTTTAAAACAATATTTTATCCAGTTGAACAGAACTATGAAAATACAAATTAGTGAAATACTGCCTAACCCCTGTCTTCCGTTATAAAGTAAAGTCGCCCAAGTTAAAGCGATCGCACATCCATCTCTATTACCGACTAAAGTTGGTGTCATGTAGATGCCTCCAGGCCATTCGCTATTGCAAAAATACTGATGATGAAGTAAAGAAGAATCACGATATAATATTAGCGATGTCCCTAGGAAACGAAATACTTGAAAAAGTGATTGGTCCTGATAACTTTTACCAATCTCTGCACTGCAAACAACATTAATAAAAGATCTTACCATTTGGAGCAAAACCATATTTCTGGACATCGCAAGCAATTGATGTTACACCTGGTACACGAAAATCAAACGGTTTAACAGTGAAATCACAACGTTCCATAATAGATAATATGAAGCCACCAAGAGTTGCATCAACATGTAAAGGAATACCATATCGCTGACTCAGCTGCAAGAGCAGATACAAACGAAATGCCTGTCCTGATATTTTAATAATTAATATTCGAAGCAAAAGATGCACAACTCATTTTTCCAAATTTCCATGTCTGACTATTATTACACAGACTTTTTAAATATAAGCTCTTCTACCACATAAAAAAATGTCCAGAATACGGAATAATATCATAGAAAAAAATTCAAATAAGCGAAAAAGGGCAGCAAACTACAAGTCTGGAGCACCGAGTTCTACAGCTATGTTTGGAAAAAAACTGCTAAAATTGAAAAGAACATCTTTATGCGTGAAAAATTACTTCTGAAACTGCTTCAATATTGTCAATAGTGCCCGATGAATAATTTGGAGCAGATGCCACGAGCTGAAAATTTGAACTCCATGTTTTCAGAAATATGCTTAGTACGCATCTGTAATTAGCAATAATTTTTGAACAGAAACAAAATACTTGAAACTGCTTCGCAAAGCTTCCTGATTTACTCTTTAGAAAAAGATTGAAATATATAGCAACATCTTACCATACATGTTTCATTTGTGATTGCACGCTTCATCGCACCTACGTCAACTCGCTGATTCTTGTCAACAGGAATATGTCTTATGCGCATCTGCAAGATTTTTGCAGCTTTATCAAATACAGCATGAGCAGTAACTGGTACGACCATTTCTGGATGTTTAATCCCTAGCAAAAATGCTCGTTTTCGATATGCTGAAATGCAACATCTAAATGAATGGAAATCGACGTACTAAATTTTAAGAGAAATGCAGCGTATTTCGAACTAATCAAATTAAAACGCACGTCATATCAAATAAGAAGTAATTCTTATAGTATCTCACTCATTCATTTATACTCACTCCACTTCTGCCACCTAAAATATGCAACTAAGAAGTACAAAATTAGCTAAATTTTAAACTACTACAGAGTAATGACACAACTTATATTGCGTTAATCCCGACTAAAACATTGGAGACATACCAAAGCATGCTAACATGTTGCTTTCTGTATCATTAGAAGTAACTGTTCCACACGAGCCTGATCCACCATGAAGAAGTGAAGCAACAATGCGTACAATTTCGGCTTCCATTTTACGAGAACCCGGAAATACATCCGGATATAATGGATTTGAGTATGCAAAAAGACCAAACATCTGTAATAAACAATCTGTTAAGTCGCAGATGCAATTTGTACAGTTTATTGAGGTGAAAACTGATATACTAACTGACCTTTTGCAAGAGCACCATATGCTCTTCATCAACATTAGCAAAAACGATGCCAGAAACACGGCCTTCTTGAAAAGAAAACTCACTCATTGTTTTGTACAATTCGGCCTCACGAATTATATCATTAACCGAAAGTCCACGTTCAGGCAAAAACTTATAGAATTCCTACAGTAAATTTTAAATCAGACAATGAATTATATAAAATTCAAAAATAATCAACATATTTTTCTTTAAAATTATTTATTTGAAAAGAAAACTGCTTATTATTTTATGTAACAAAATTTCGGTACTTTTCAGTGATGCAAAAAACTTTCTTGTAGTACATAACAATAGCAGTTCTGCATGCTTGGAACAATCTTTGAACACTGTCACTTTTCTTTTTATAAACTTTCAATATCTTACTGAAATTTTAAAAAATTAGTCCAGAAAAAGCATCCTTATTGTTTAATTAATTATCCTCAAAAACCAACTTTCTTTTTATCGTACTGATGTACAGTTTCTTCGAGATCTCTTCTTGCTTTTTCCATCTTTTCTTCTATTTGAGCTTTCACCCATGGTATCATGCGAATAGCAGAAAAAATCTTAAACATTATAAGTTTATGAGGAAATTTATTTCGATGATTTTTAAAATCGATACACAATAAGTACCATAGCACGAATACGAGTGGAAAGAGGGCGATCTACTTTCAGCTGCCGATGTATCCACATAAACAAGCAGGTGAGAGATAAGGTGTATGAAACAATCTGCCATGCTTCTAGATGTACACATGCTTGGTTGAATCCAACACGGCCATCATCAACCATTTGTGCAATCACACGCCACGTGTGTCCACTTTCTGGCGTCCACCACTCATCCATTAACGATTTGAAAACGCAAATACCTAATAACTTAATAAATTTGCAAGAAAATACAAGTTAAAATTGATCAGCACTGCTGTCAAAAAATTAAAATATCAAGATCAATACGACATCGCATGTTTTAGTACAAGTATGCATAACCAAAGATTAAATAAAATGTGTTCCTAAATAGAGTGTTTTATGATTAAATTTCTGGTTCAAACCAAGACATACATCTAATTCAAAGTGCTGCAAAGACTTATCCCAAAAAACCAGTTTTGAGATATTTGAAAGTGAATCATTCGCAGTGTGTAAATATATTTAGAACCTACTGCTCAGTGCTGAAGAATGTTAAATAATGTTTTTCGTTTGAGCGCAGCGAGAAGAAATTTTCATTTCGGTTTTGCTAGCTCTAATATGTTTAATTCAGCATAAACTGATTTTCAACCTTTCAAAGAAATGGCATGAAAGTCTTGGAAAATATAGAACTTTAATTTAGCCCTACTTAGCACAATAACCAAGAAACGAAGCAAGAAGACATGATTAACTATTGATGCAAACGAAAACAAAACTGCTGAAACAAGCATTTTCATTAACACACCTGTATGGCCTTCTTTCGGGTAATTTTCTTTCCGTTGTTTTCTGTGAAAGAAAGGAAAGAAATTTACTCAGGGGGAAAATCACTGGTTTCTACTGAATGTTGCAAAGAGTGAAGTGGTATTGCCGAACGATCCATACGTGTATGTGAGCTCATTTGGCTTTTACTTTCATCCACCCTTGTTCTTATAATTGAATCAGTGATATTGATTTGATCGATAGTAAAGTGTTAATATTTTTGGCATATATGCTGTACGCTTATTTGAACGTTGTCAGAAGATTCTTAACTTCATTTTTGCACCAGCTTTTTAGTTTTCACAGTCTTCACATTAATATTGCACATAGACTTCGTCTTATGAATGTGTTCATTATTTTTCGTCATAGGTTATCAATGGTACAGCACTGATAAAATAAAGCGTTGTTTTATTGTGGGTCGTTGTTGTAAAATAGTATCTTTATTCTTTTTGTATTTACTGTAGTTTTCTTTTTTTTTTCATATTTTTTCACTTAGTCATACTGATTTGCGCAAGAATTTACTTTTTAAAGCGAAATATTTAGTTAATCTGTTTGACTGACATCTAGAATAAGTATTCAGACATATTGTTACTTGATACATGGAAAGATTAATGTTATACATTTGAGTTTAAGTAGAGAAATTGTCGTCGGAGGATTTAATTTTGATCGAGTCAGTAGGCTGTTTCTTTGGTCATGTGTTACTTTTTTCCATTATTCAATACGATTCCTGTTCGATAGGCATTGTAATGTTGATTGAAAACTAATTATCTTTTGCTCTAGCAAATTAGTAGATTGTACTACAGCTACTGTGTTTTGCCATCCAGTATAATGTGTTTAAAAATCCGAAAACATTAGGTCTCGTTATCATTCCCTTCAAATATTGTATTGCGAACTGTCATAGCGGATGTTTGACTAATTGGATAAATTTTATCAAGTCTGTTTATAAAGAAGATCAATAGTTTACTAGTTGAAATTAATTAGTGGCTGTTCTTAAACAATAGGAGCTATAAAAAATCGTTTATTTCATTGCATAGGTTATCTAAGATTTATCATGAGTTTTTTGCTTCTTCCTTTCTTCAAGTCACGTAATAGACAGTTTTTACTCTGATTCTAGGTATGAATTCCAAAGTGCATATTGTCTCTGGAGCTCTGAAATCTGCTACAAATCATGTGCAGCAGTTCATTTCAAAAATTTGCGAAGATGGCGACTTATACTATAAGTTAAAGTACGATCCTTATTTACCAGGTTAGTTTGTACTCCCATTATTGTATTTGACGACCTATGTCGTAAATTTATCTCTTCATTCCCACTAGTTTTATAGATAAGGTGACTATATCTGGCCTCGCAGTGGAAGATTACCAATCATTAAAAGAGATTGAAATGCCAGAATTCTTTTATAATCATTTGAAGCCAATTCCACAAGAACTAAGGGATCAGCTTAATAGTAAGTTCATTATTTTTCGTAGTAGTGTTTTCTAGTCCAAAACTCTCGTTTTTTATCATTTTATTAACTAAGTTTTTTGTGGTCTTCTACCCACCAACAATATTATTTTTTACTAAGTCTGAATGTCCTTTGCAATTTTTGACACTTCTTGACAACCAGCATTTTTAATTGCAATACAGATACGCAGAGCATCTGTACAATGGGTATATTACCTGAAATTGGGCGTGCTTACATGACAATTGATGCTGATTTGTATGTGTGGAATTATGAAGATAGGTCAGTTGTTGTTTTTTCATTTACTGAAACGAGTACTTGACTTTTTTTTCAGCAGCATTGTCGTGTATCATGAATATATATTTGTCTTCTACAACATCAAATCATCGTCTCGTTTTCTTTGACAAAAACATTTCTTAATATCACTGGTCAGACTATCAGAATTAGTATTTTCATATTAGTCGTTCGGAGAATAATCTATCCTTATACTTCTATGGAATTTTATCATATGACATTAGAATAGTTTGTTTTCTGACTCTGACGCACTGGTTGTTCGTTGCCTTTCGAAATAGGACATCTTTGCATTTTGGATGGAATATTAATTTTCCACACATTAGTTTTTAGCTCAGATCTGGCTTATTTTGATGGAATTTGTAATACAATCACTAAAGTAGCAGTTGCAAAACCAAAAAATGGAGTATTTCAGGTATCTCGAACATCATCATACTTTTTAATTCGACTTCTTTTTGACTAAGTTCATTTGTAATCGTTCTCATATTTATATATTTTAAACGAATTATATATCTTTTTTCACTTTCCAATTTTTTAAACAAACAGAAGTTATATCCCGGCATGTTTTCGGATGAATAGTTTTCTATAGTCCTGCAAAAATATAAATTTCTTTCATTACTCACGGGCTTATCCACTTTTCATGCTACTTTCAGAAGCATATTCACTGCTTACTTATTGTAACAACAACAAAGGATATTTTATTGTTAGCGGCAAGCTTCACGCATAATCAGACAGTTACTGATATGTCTCTACCACCTATTGATTGTCGACAGGCAGATATGTATCTTCTTCCTGATCCACTTTTTAAGGTGTCTTTAAAAATATAAATTTCTTTTGTTAAGTTTTCATATTATGCGCATGTATATTTTATATTTCTAAATAACTTTTTGTATATGCCCTGTTGTTTGTGATCTGATATAAGTTTAGTGATTATTCTGAGATCTAGTATTCTTGACCCATATATAATTCTATTTCATTTTATTTTTTGTGTTGATGATACACTCTTTTATTTAGATTCCGATGGATGACACTAATGTATCAGATATAGTTGCTACTTCTAGTGGTCGTATTTTCTTCACGGAGGCGGCAAATTTGTATGAGCTTGATTATCAGGTTCTATACGTTTTTCAAAAATTCATTGTTCCTGATTATTTGAATGTTTTAAGCCGATGTAGTCAAGTATTTGTTCTTTTTTCCTTCTTGTTTATAGAGCAAAGCTGAGCAGTATTTTCATTTGTTTTTTCTTTTATTAATACGCATTTGTAATATCTCAATTTAAAGGATAAAGGTTGGTTCGGTCGGCGTTGTCGCAAAGTAAACCATTCTAAGAGCTTTATTAGTTATCTATTACCTTCCGTGTCCCTAATTACCGGAAAAGAAGGTAAATTTTTTATCCATATATTTATAGAAAAACAAAGCAGGAGAGGAGAATGGCATTGCCTACAGTTACATAGTAGTCCTTGTCCCAATTTTCAAGGTGTTAAGGGCCGTAGTTAAGTAATGACCTATTTATGTTTGTTTGTTTTTTATTCTTTTTTTCAATATTTGTGTGAAATAAACTGCAAGGAAGTGAAACAATTATAATAAGGCTGCTGATTGAAGTCTTTAACCACAGATTTTAGAGCGTCTAGTGCGATTGTGTTTGGACAATACTCGAGAAATTTTATATAGCTTGTCTGAAAATGGTTCTATACAAGTCTATGATCTGCAGAGTGATAAGAATTCCATTGTTAAAGTTGCTTCTCTGAATTATGCGCAAATTCAGGTTTGAGTTTGCTTCAACGACTATATCTCATGATTCTTTTTACGCCTTTGCAGCATAATGCCTATGCTTTTGCCTTTGCCTTCGCCTCTTCCTTTTAATTGCAAAGTCGTTAGAATGAAAATATGTGAATTCACAAGTATTTGATTATTTGATTACCCCAGCTTATAAGATGCGTATCTAAAAATCCAGAATTTATTTATTGAAGCATATGCTATCACTATTTTCATCAGTGTTCCATTTATAGGCGCTTGCAGCTGCAGAATGTCGGTCTGTTGATGTTTCTTTCTTTGCTGGTATTGTAAATATTAATTCAATTCCTAGTACACAGTCTCGATATCTACACATTGTACGTCACAAAATGAGTGTTTATTCAGTGTTCTACTTTAATTTGTTAGGACATCTTTCTGCTTCCGTTTTCTCATTTTTGGCTGTTGCCAATTCATAAAAAACCTGTAGTTTTGTAATTCTTAGTTGTTGCAAGCTTTTTCAAGTATCTCAAGTTTGAGTTTGCTTCAACAACTATATCAAATGATTTTTTTTATGCCTTTGCTGATTATTAATATTCAGTATGTAAATTTTGCTTTGAGGTTGCGACAACTCGAAAAGGTGTTCGTTTATACTTCAGTTGTTTCCCACCAATGCCGAAAGGTGCTTATCAGATGATGCCTAAATCATCTATCTTAAACTCCATGGTCTTTTTTTGGAAATTATTGATTTTGTAACAACATAGCATGTAGATCTTCAAATAAGAAAAATGCGTATGATTGATAGGTTTCGGATGATAAAAAAATGCAATTTTAGGAAAACCAAAGACCTAGCTGCCTGCGTTTGAGACATGTTCGTCTACCTCCTGGATATGGAGTTTCTCCGATATCTTTCCAACCACTTTCTATTTACGATGCTTTTTATGCTCACGGTATGTTCTCTTGCATTTGCTTTTTAAGCTACCTTTTATGATAGGAATATGTAGTGCAAAAAAATTGTGTAAATTAGGAATAAATGAGCAGCAGTTCATGTGATTTGAGTTTTTTGTTTGGTAATAAAATTTACATTTCAGTATGAAACACTATTTCAGCTTCCAATTTATTTTTGCAGAAATTGGTATCATGGCTGGGGAAGCAGGTATTGATACATCGTCACTTTCTCTCTTCTCTTCATCACATTTCCCAATATCTGATTGTCTTACTGAGACTGTGGTTGGTTTTAATGTTCTATGATCATTTAACTCTTCTTAAGTATAAATGCATTTCACATTTTTTTAAATTTATCATATTTTCCTCATTTTTATTGCTGCTAGTCAATATTGTAGTAAACTGTGTTGAAGAAGATTCTGATATATTTTTAGCGCATTTTAATTAACGGCATACGGCTTTTTATTGTGTTTAATATTAGGCATTTGTATAGGAAACTTACTTTTTGAATTATGAGATGTTACCATTTTTTAACTATATTATAGATGCAAATACGCATGTGGAATATGGTAATGATGATAACAAAAGCTGTATCCACATCATCATTTTTGGTGTGTTTTACTGTGATCATAAGAAACGCACTCATGTTTTATATTTTTTTTGTATGCTATCAAATGCATGGACGAATAATTAAAAAATGATAAAATTTGGAATTATTTCTTCGTGGGAATTATTTGGAATAATCTGGAATTATTTCTTATTCCATCGTTGCAGGCGGCTGAAGCTGATATTCCTCAAGATTATCTACTTAGTCGATATTCGTTGGAAAAATTCATTATATTAACCGAAAAAGTATAATTTGTCTTTTTTCACATAACACTGGAAATCTTGATAAACAAGGAAGATTAAAATATTGTTTTAAGATATGTTATCAGTCCCTTTCTTATAAATTATGTGTGTTCATAATCTTGATGTTTTGGAATGATTGTGATGGGAAAATTGTTCAGTGTTTGTACTTTCTCAGAGTCAAAGTAGGTATTTAAATTCATTCGCGTAATATTTAATCAAGAATTTAAGGGGATACAAATAATTGAACATCGTACCCCAGTCGAAACATTACGTGAAATTCTTCTTCAATTTGGACCTGATTCTACGCAAATTAATCATTTCATACGACTGCATGGATTAGTTAATGTTGGCGACATGATTTTGACAATTTTGTGCACCGACTGCAGTGCAAATAATGCAATAAAGGTTGATAACATTGTTTGTTCAAATCAGCCCATTGTAATTGTTACAGATTGAATGTAGTAGAGAATTCTTTTGCGTGTTACAATGCATTTGTTTCAGGATTCTGCACTTCGGTTATTTTTCACCTTAAGTGTTGAAAAGTCATGGAGCAAACGTATAATTTCACCTCAGCCTATGAGTAGTTCAAATCAATGGTCACTGCTTGGCTGTGATTCCATTTCCGATATTTCTTTGAAAATACGCTGTGAGTTTAAATTTGTAAGGATAAGTTTTTGTTATTAACTTACCTTCTATTTATATATTGATGAAAAGAGTTCTCTATTTACAGATAGGTGTATCAGATTCTGACATCGTTTTGTGAACCTGACTTGATATTAATATCAGTTAGTTAAGGTTTTTCGTAAAGTATGAAATAACTTTTTTTAAATCTAGAAATTTAATTTCTTTAAATGCTTTGCAATTTTTAATTAATCTTACAGCCCCGTTACTGTCATCCACTCCTCAGCAAAATAAGCGCCTTACGTGTCATGCTAGGGATTCTTTTCATGAAGAAAATTCGGTATCAAATATCGAAGAAAATTCTTTTTCGAAAGAAATTCAAACATCTGTCAGTTAATTTTTGGTTTGCACATTTCAAAACAATACTTCATTGTTTTGAGACAAGTAGTTCCTTCATTTGCCTTCATCGCTTTTTTCTGTTGGAATTAATAGAAGAGAAAGTCTTCAGTCGCTTTCATCATCTATAACTCTGTAATTTTATTTATAGACACCAATGAGTTGCCGACATGATGCGCTTTTCATGCATTTTTCAAGAATTATTGGAAATATGTGGATGAAACCCTTATGTCGTTTACTTTCTGACAACAAGGTTTTTAGGAAGTTTTTACACTTAGAATTAGTTTACAATGTTTTGAAATTAAATGTTGCTTCTGTTGTCTTTTTATATGAAGAATTTTTTTTTCAGATAGCTAGTATTTATAATGTAGACCAGCTGGATTCGTTTTTGTACCAATTGAAGCCATTCAAAAAAGTAATTGAGGATAATGGATTGATTGTAAATGCTCAGGATTTTATTCAGTTGATGAATGGTGATAGTAATCCAAAGTCCTACAGTGAAAGTAGTGGTTTAAAATTATTGCATATCAAGTTTTCCTATGTGTTCAGTTTTATTGTTTCATATTTTTTTATGTGTCAGATTCTTTAATTTTAGTGACTTTACAATCGGAACGCCGTTCGTTACTGAGTTTGCGTGAGCTTCTATCGCTCACTATAGAAGTTTTGACGTTGTGGAGGATATTATGCAAGCATCAGTTCCATGTTATAGCCACGCTTCTTAACATTCAAGTCCGAAATCGCTTACTTACTACCAGTTTTTGCAATATAGTTCTGAGTAATCAAGAGGTAAAGTAAATTTTTTTCTTTGGATGTTTCATTTTGTTTTAATGTACCAAATAGAATCTTTTATGGTTTTATGTCTTTTAGTGTTTTCATGCTTTGAGTCTTCAGTCGTATGGTAATTTTTTAATAAACGATAAAGAATTTTGCGGGTTTTTTCAATAATTTTATTTGATGAAGCTATTTGAAACAGGAGTCTTCACATTTAGATTTGTACCGATTTAATTGCATCACTTGTTCGTCTTTATTTGGGAGATAATGCAACAACATCAATGCTTTGCAACGAATTGCGTACTTTTTGTCCATCTCTCTTTTCTGTTGATGATGCCAACACCACAAAGGTAAATTTGGCAAACATTATTCGAATGCATTTTTGCCACTTAATATAATCAAGCATAAGCTTTTAATTTATTTTATAAATGATTTTTAATATGTTTGTTGTTTTTAAGAAAATATTTACTTAGTGGTCTTTCATATAAAACACATGTAATGGTTATCTTCTTTCTGCATTTTTTCGTAACTACGTAAAAGCATGGTTGATTTCTTCGTAACTACGTAAAAGTATGGTTGAAAATTTTATTTCTCCATAAGGATGTAATTTGAAGTAAGAAGTATTTCTGGCTGGAATTATGTGATTTCAGGCAACAGAAATGATTGAAGAAGCACGTCGCTTATCGCCATGTCCGGTACAACTGGAGATATTGCAAGAAGCTGTAAAACTATTAAAAACTGGAGTTCAAAAAATTGATTTACCGATGATTTGTCAACTTTTTTACGAAGGTTTGAGAAATTTGGCCAAATTTTTACAAGTTTCTGTTTGATTTTCATTCTGAAAATTGATTCCAGAAATGTACAGAATGTGTTCTACCATTAGGTGATCGTTTATCTAAATGGTTCCCTTTAATTTTTCTTTATTGACGTTATATGTCCTTCTTGGCATAAAGTATTGTCCATTGGCATTTAATTTTGGTCGATGAGAAAACTGTTTTAAACTTCAACTTTTATAAGGATTTAATCTAGTAATTATAATTCCTAATGTGATTATGAAGTATTCTTTTATTATTCTTTAGTTGATTATATGGAAGGGATAGTAGAGTTATCCCTAGAACGTGCAGAACGTGATGACCCAAAATCATTGGCTTTGGTGGCATTCAGGAATTATTGCGGGGAAAATGGTACTGTGGCACAGGAAGCATTAGTGAGGAGGTTCTCTTTTTTTTAACTTTAGAAGGATTTATAAGAATTTCTATTTGGTCAGGAGTTTGTTGCATTGTTTACTCTGATTGAAATTGCACTCCATTAGTCATATTTTTTGTATTTATAGGAAAGATGCTTATAAATGTATAACTGATACCCTTGATCGTCTTACAGACGATCAAAAAAATTTGAGTTCTGAAGATTTGCTCGACTCATCAAGAAATATCATTATTGAGAAAGTTTTTAAATCGAAAGATGAATTAGCTAATGTCGCAATTTTCAATTGGCTTTTGGATAACGACTTAAGCGATATTGTGCTTCAGGTGATATATTGAGTTTGTTGCATTATTTGCTCTGATTGAGATTTAATTTTATTTTGACCTGTACTGCTAGAGAAAAACTTGCTTAAATAGTCACTGAAAGATGAATTTATCACATATTTGAGTATAATGTTTAGAGCAAATCTCCGTTCTTGGAAGCATTCCTTCATCGTCGTGTTGAAGAAGGCGGTTCTAATCGTTACTTAGATCTTTTATGGCGATTTCATGAGCGTAATGGGGATCACAAAAAAGCAGCTGACTTATTGTATCATCTTGCTCAGAAAAAAACGTATCATATTTTCCTTCAGTATGGCACAAAATTTTCTGTTTTTTTCGTTTCATAAATCTATTTTAGGAATGCGTATGACATTCAGCGTCGTGTCGAGTACTTATCACAAGCTGTTATGTGTATTCAATTGATTGATCCAAAAGGTTTTAAGATGGATGAATTGCACGATCTAACACTAGAGATACGAGATAAGCTTGATGTTGCGCAAATTCAACTTGCTACTAGGTGAGATCAGTTCCTTGATTGACATACATGTTTGTGCTTTTTGTATATTCAATCGTTTTTGATTTCTTCTCTATTCTTTTCTTAGTTTTTCATCTGGTATCTGCAAATGCTGAAGTAGCTGCAAATCTATTGGATAATGGTAGTGTTCCATAATTCATTTTCTACTTTCACTTCGTTTTTCATCAAAATTTTTGATTAATATTTAATTATCAGGGATTTGGTACAGACAATGCCTAGAACTCGTGAAACGATTGCAGCCAAGCATGATCTTGAGTCGCAACTATACACAGTACAAGAACTTTTTGAACAGTTTGCTATACCACTAGATTTACCAGAAATTAAACTTTCATTGTGTTTTTGCTCATCAGCTTATGATGAAAATGCTATTGAAAGTTTTTACGAGAGTATAATCGACGGAGGTAACATTGTTAATATTTAGAGAGAAGCAAAAATTGCAAGATAAGCATTTTTCTAAAACGAAAATTTTTTTGGTTAAAAATTATAAAGCTATGAGATGAAAGCATTTGGAAAATTTCTGGCATTCAAGTTTTTTGCGAAATATGAATATAGTGTGATTATACTTATCAAACAGTTGCTATTGATAATGTTTCACAGAGTTATGTTCCTCTAATGATCAATCAGTTGATGTTCGCATTCAGCGTTTGGGTACAAAACTGGCTGCCTTAGCAAAAAAGTATTCTTCAGTATCGAAGTATTATCCCGTCGGTTTGTTTTCCGTTTAGCTCTGTCATAGGAAATTCACACCAACGAGTATATATTTGCTCATATTTTTTTTGTTGATCTGTTTTTTTTTCTGCTGAAGAATTTCCCTGTTCTAAAAATTTGGTGTTGTCTTTTTAGAAGCAATATTATCATTGTTACTGAATAAAGGATATGCTGAAGGTTTTCCACCTTCCTTTTTGCACTTCATTGAATTGGCGGTTGAGATACCATTTAATGCTTTAATTGATGCATTGTCAAGTCAGTTCAGGTAATATCAAATAATCATTTCTCCTCTCTTTTCTAACATAAGTATATTTCACCTGAATAAATTGGTAGTATGTGATCAATACACATAAAACATTTCGATATATATGTGTTCAACCAATCATCTAATTTACAGGAAAAGTCTTCTTTCTCACCAGACGCATTTCATATCCCTTTACTTGATGCAATCAACATTATATGTGGTAACAAAGTTTGTAGAAGATCCGTCTGTCTATATTCATCAACAAAGGTATTCTTTATTTGGTTGATTTCTTATAAGTTTTTTTTTCTTTTTCAGTGGAATCAAGAAATTTCGTGCCAAAAGATTTAAGAGTTGGATTTTTGGAATGACCTACGTTTATTAAAATTGTTTGAAGATTATTTTACTTTTTGTCATCTATTTTTATTCTTCCTGTAATTATTATTCGAGGCATTGCATTGCTTTTTCTTGTTGCAGCAAGACAGCAGTAGCTAGTAAATGTCTAGATTTGATAGCAGGATTTTTAATACATCTCTCGCAACCACAGTCATCTACTACGCTTGATCAAAAAATGCTCATTGAGACGTTCAAATCTTTACAAATGATGCTGGAAAAAATCTAAATTTCACCGGTGCTTCTCATTAATTTAAGTAATGGTTGCATATTTCGACTGTTATCCAATTTTACTGTTATGCTGTTTTTTCATTTCTGTGTCATTTTTTTGTTTTCAAATAATATTGATTTGTTTTTCTATTTATTGGAGTGTGTCTGTGCTAACCAAAAAGTTATTTCTGTTCTTTCAATGTCATGGTTGATGTAACTACTGGTATAGACCGTAGCTTAAAGAATTTATTTCACTGATCTGCTAAACTGAAATGTATTTCAAACTACGATGTCGGTACGATTTTTAGTTTCATCGATAGTGATGTTTACATATTTCTCTAGAATTATGTTGTAGAATTTTATCTTGAACTCGATTTCTTATCTTGTTTTATACAAAGGAATTTCAAGGGTTTGGTGTACATGAAATACTTTTCAGTTAAGTAATTTTCACTTCAATAAAATAAATTGATCTAAAATATATTGCATTTATATTTCTTAGAGGCTAGACGCAAAAAAAGTTCGTTTTTTCTTCTATACATGGATGATATAAATGTTGGATTCAAAAGATTAACTTGAGATTTAGAAGTCTATTAAGCATATTTGTTCGGTTATAGTTAGATAAACTTAAATTTAGTCTTGACTGTTTGTGGAAATCAGCAGTTTCGTTGTCGGTCTAGTCTTTTGTCGATTCTCACCTTCACTTCATGGCCAGATGAACAAGTTATGGTTTTTTCATTGCAGGTTATCTTAAGAAAAGTTTTAGATACTTTTTGATTGCAGTGTCTGCGAAGTGGAACTCGGATTTGAAATTTTGAATGTTTCACTGAAGACACTGGTTTCTAAGACATTCAGTATCATTGTTATTGTTGATTTGTTGATGTGTCTCGAATTTCTTCTATTATATGGCTAAGATTATCCGCAGTTAATTGGTTTTAAGCTGGCTGTGTATGTTCTTTTGAAAGTAAAGAACTTCTGTAGTTTTTGCGTGCACATCTGTTTTCTTCGGTAGTGAGTTGAAAATGTCAGAGCTTCTCATGCAGCTATTAAGATTTAATCTAGGAGTCAAGTAGTGTCGGGGATTCTAGTGGCTTTGGAGGGGTAATAGTTTTAAGCTTAGCCTGTGAACTGCAGACAAAGTTTGTTCATTTAAAGAGAGGTACTTTGTTTATGATGCTACTTATCGATTTGGATTCATGTGAAGAAATATAAAAAGATGGACAGTGATGTTATTAAGAGTGGGAGAGTTTTAAGTATGGGTTTTGTTTGGTTTAATTGGTAGTTTCTGATATTCAGTAGCCATTACTCAGAGGTAACAGAAAGTTGGGCAGATTTTGGTTATATTACTTTTATGGGAAATTTTGTTAGAATTAATGATGGGAATGGTGGCATATGAACAAGAATCAAGTAAAGTTGATTGGTTATTCATGAGGAATTGGATATTCATTGTCTTGCTGTTCCTTACACTAATCACTGCATTTATTCTAATGGATCAGATAGACATGGAGAAAGAAATGCATAAGGAAATTGTCTACAATTAATGATCAATCCAATCGCATTGCTTTGAAAATATGTGTGTAAGAAGTATATAAATATTATTGTTTGTGTTGTATGTACGTATGTGTGTGTTCTTGAGTATGTGAGTATGCCTTTGTATTCGTGAAGAAAGGTTTTTGCATTGCTGAGAGTGGTCATAAGTTGAAATATCCTTCCAGTTTGCAGTCTTCTTTCTTGCATCACTGTTGATACCTTTATCCTATTTTTCATGCCTGAATTTACACCTCATTGCTGTGTTAAGGTACTTGTTTTTATTATGACTTGTAGTGGGCGATAAAAAATGAAAAAAATTAATATTGTTTGGTTCAGTGTCTTTTAATTCATTCATTTCTCTCCATCTATCCTTTTTCTTATCAAAGTAAAACGATTGCCTGGTTGAATGAATAAATGAATGAGTGAATGGTATTTCTATTTTTTGGTTCTTAAATCTTTACACTAAATTTCTTTCCTTTACTTTTCATTTAATTCATTTCTCCTTTCATTTCTCACATTCATATGAATGAAGCTGAATGCTATAGTTTCTGAATTTTTTAAAAGAAAATCTAAAGGTTTGTTTATATGTTTCATATATTTTAGTCAAGTTCAATTGAACATCATGAATTTCTTTCATTCAGCTTACCATTTATTTCGTTGTGGAAAACTGATATGCAAATGGATAGTTTGCGATTAACCAATATTGTGTTCTTTCTTTTGCTCTTTTGTATGAAAATGAATTTTTAGTTGAAAAAATAAAAATATACCCATTACAGTTGTTGTTGTTGATAAAATTATTACAACAATTTTATATGCTACCACTGTTGCAATATTTTATATTCAAGTACAGAAACTGTTTTCATCTTACTAAAGTTTCTAATTGTAATTCAAATAAATGTATTTTAAACTTACTTGCAGTTAATTTTCGCAATTAAAAATTGACTCTGAAACATATTCAAAAATGATATATCAATCACTTTTAATAATAAACTTGCTGGAAATGTTTGGTCAAATCGACACGTCTTCTTCCACTGATGATTATTTGAAGCCAGCTGATAGCTAGTTCATATCGAGATCATCTTTTGGCTCATTTCATTCATACACTGTAATACAATTAGTTTTGTTGAGCATCTTCATTTACGGTATAAAAATCTTTTACTGAAACTATACTGATTATGTAACGCTGTGTAGAATTATCATTCAGTATGAAGCACATTCAAAATTGACTTTTCATCAAAAGTCCTTCATTTTTCAAAAATTTACTTTTATTGAAAAACGGGTTGCTTGAAAAACAGAAAATGTTCTCGAAAAGCTATTCCACGAAGAATACAACCATCAAAGGGTAGTTAGTTATAGTGGTTGGTTCCGCCTGTAGTTTTGGGTGTAATCATTTGAATAAGATTCTCCATAATGGCAAGACGCATCTGTACTATTTCAGTTCAGCTAAGAGTTTTTTTTACACCTTTTATTTCTTAATTGACTGAAATAATAAGACTGTAGAAATAGGTTTCAATTATTTTATTCACAAAGGGACTAAAATTTTTGATCAAATATTTCATGAAAAGTCAATGTGGTCAAACTTGTCAATATATTAATTATGTCGAAGGATGTGCATATAACATAACATTTTTTCACGCAAATGAATCATGGAATCTCCTTAATCGATTTTGCATTACTTACTGAATGGATGTGATGGATTGTTTAGACAGACAGTTCAGTTCAGCATCTTTAAAATCATTATATATAATGCAGAAATGTCCTGCACATTTTTGATGAATTATTTGCAAAATTTTTTATTTCATTAATTTTTTTGCAATTAAGTAAAAAAGCGAAAAGACGAAAGGACTGGTTTTTAATTCTCATTTGGATAAATTGTATTGTTGTGAACTAGAATACTTGCTAGATTTAATATTGCTCCTAAAAATTGCAATATGCACCTATATTTTGTTTTTTTAGTATTATGACTGACACTTCTACTAAATGCAAAGCCCAGATATCCCACAAATTGCTACAGAAACGTGATCTGGAGCCTTGTTTTTGGATAAATGAACATGTTTATACTGGGTACCGACCAACAAATTTACCTCCATTACAATACGTTAAATGGTAAGCATAATTCAGTTTTTACTGATGGAAAGTTTTTTGCTCAAAAGTATCAGTCCTCCACATCATCTCGATCTTGATTCATAATGCTAAATTAAATTGAATTCATGGTTACCTCGATAACGAACTTAAGTGAAAAGATTCTCATATTTTGTATTTTTTCAAGCTATAAAAGGTTTGAGAAAAAAATGTCGTGTAAATTTATACAGTTTACTATTTGTTAAGAAAATATTTATACACTGAATTTTTACCTAACAAAAATTAAAAATTTGTGCAACGCAATTAAATAAATTTTTTGTCATGAATCAATGAGTTACTGAATGAAAGTAAATTTGATTTAAATAGTTTTAGCTATGAGGACTTCTATCAGTAAAGTATCTTGCAAAACTAGTTCATTTAAGAGTTCCAAAAATTTTATTTTCACCATTATATTCATCTTCCTTACATTTCAAATATTGCAATCAGGGAAGTGACGTATACTTTAAAATCTGTAGCTTGATGCATTTGAAATGATAACCAGTAACCAGTTTGTTGTTTCTTTAAAACGGAAGGCAAATGAAGTATAAAATAAATTTTGTGTTAGGACAGCAGTAATGATAATCACTAGTAGTGTAATACAAATAAAGATATTAAAAGTGATTATAATTATTATCAGTTAAGAAGATATAGTGGGATTATGATATTTTAGGATTTTTCAATGGAATAATGAAACGATTAATATATGGACACATCTTATAGGTTTTATTTATTTTACCTGGTCTCAGTATAATGCTAATTTTAATATATTACCTTCTGCTAATGCCTATCTGCTGGATCATGTTATAATTACAATATGTATATTTGGCCTTCAGGTTAAATTTTGCAATTACTGTTTACTTACTAATTACTTCATTGAACAGTGCTGTAATTCACTTTTGAATGAATCCTTTATTGATGAAAAATGAAATTCATAATGATCATTAGTGTTACCAAAATAAGCGCTTAATAAAGGTTGACATTTACAAGTCTGAAGATCTCATGAGAAAAAAATAGAATTTTGTGCGCACATTGAATACAGTGATAGCAATGTTATGCTTAACTGTTATGAAACTTATAAAAATAAAGCTTTAATGCTAGATGGCTTATACCATTCCAATAGCATAATCGGAATATGAAAAATTTCCAAAGTTCTACTTGAAATCATGTTTTGTGGAGGAAAATTTCTTTTAGCACTCGAAAATAAGACTTATTGTCTTGGAAATTTTATTGACATTCTAAAAATATGTTTAAATATTAAAAATATTGCAGTCTACACACTGTCACTTCAATTCCATTGCATTCTTTAATCTAAATTTTAATTTTTTGTAATTTCTTCTTAAATTCTTATTTTATGCAATCCTATGCAATCCATATTTCATACTTTTTCAGATTTGTATGCTTTTATCATCTCTTTATCATATATTTGGTTGTATTAGTGCTGAACAAAGATACTTCCTGCTACGTATGGATGTTTTTGGTATATCACTAGGTTTAATCAGCATATATGTAATGGGAATTTATTCAGCATTCTTATGCTTTGAGGTTTATGTTTTTGAATTTTCAATGTAGGATGATATTAGGTCTAAAAAGTTAAAGCAATGGTAGTGAGATCTGTTCTGCAGCAGATATCATATTTTGTTTTTTTACTTGTTCATGCTTGCTCATTCATACCTTATTAATAATGAAAATTCAAGGGTTCTTAATCTTAAAAGATTTATAAAGCGTAAATGTTTGAAAAAGTCAAAGTCAATGGATTTAAACATGATTTTCTTTCTAAGATGATTTGCTCACAAAAGATAAAAATGGCTATTCAGGTGAACAGTCAGTCATTAAAATAATTAATATTTTACAGCTGAAATGATATCGTTTCTGAAAAACAAAGCAAAAAAAATTCGTTTCATATTCTTGCTGTCTGAAGTCAAAAATATAGTGTACTATAAATAAAAGATTAATTTGAATCTTCAACTTTTGACCGCTGTACGTAGTCAACAGATAACGAAGCTATTTATAGAAATCTTTTAAATACTGTAACCTTAAATATTGTATTTTATCAGGATGCATTCAAAATGTCTGCAAAATTTGTCATCTATTTCTAGGTATGGCAAAAGAGTTACTCTGCCTTTTTATTGGGTTTATCATTAATAATGATTTATTTACCATGGAATATTAATGTTGCCAGCATGAGTCTGATCGGTTCACAGTTTAGTTACGCTCACTTGACCTACTTCATTATCGTCACATTAAGTCTAGCACCAATGATTCATTGGATTGTATTACATGGTGGCTTCACCAGTACCCATGTGCTGGTGAGAATTTTTGCTTATTTCTTTGTGAACATGCAAGGTAATAAAAATTTGATGGCATTTCACTTCACGAAATGTCTTTCCATTATTTCCATTTTTTCACTTCACTGACTTCTTCATTTCATCAGAAATTTGTAAGAAGAGAAGATTTTCAGCAATGGTTACCAAATTTATTGATTTTATATGTTCTGGCAGGATCTGCATTCATTTTTCACATTTCAATGATTCCAGAAAGATTCAAACATGGTGACTATTTTTTAATTTGATCTTTTGGGCATTTTTTAACTCATAAAATAGTCTGCTAACAGAACGTATCATTTTTTTGGATGTACTGGTAGTTATCTATTCAGGTACATTTGATTTCATTGCATGCAGTCATCAGTGGTGGCATGTAATAATTTTATTGGCAATGCGCTTCTGGCAAAATTCGAGTTTAGAATACTTGGCACTCCATCGTGCATATCCAGATTACTGTTCAACTCTTTGTCCATTATCGAATGTTACAAAATGATTTTATAATAATAATTTACGAGCGGTTTATATAAATCATTTCTATTTCGAACAAAATAACTTTTTAAATCGTGAAATTGCAAAAGTTCGATTCACAAACTATATATATACAAGAAAATAGGGAGGTTAGTCTTCTTTTCTACTTTATTAATTCTGGCACTGGATTGTATTCCGACACTCTTGCCTTAAGTTCAGATTTGTTGTATTGATTTGTTCTGCTTCATCTTTGTGCACGCCTTTACGTTATCAGTTGCTTAGCGTTTATGGAAGTTCGTTACAATCTCATCGCAAGTCATCACATACGGAATTATTTTGGTCCTGCATTCCATCTCTGACCCAAGCTTATTAGCAAGTAGGTCATATTTTCTCTTTTTCTCGGTCTCGACTGCTGTTAACCTGTCCTGACTAGTGATGCCAACCTCTATCAGGATTTCTTCACGTCGCTTCTTATCATGTATATCCGGTCGATACGCTTTCATTCTGATTGCAGTTTCCACTCGCTTATCGACTCTGATCTCAACATTCTCACTCGCGACGACCTCCTGAACAGAATGGTTTTGTAAGCACGGAATGCTTTCAGACCATACTTCTTGTAGAGTCCCAAGTGGATGCATCGTAGGATATCACTGTGTCTATTGGTATAGTCGTGATGTAATTGCATTGCTAGATGATCCACCGTCTTCACACGTTCCCCAGAATGTTGGCTCATACCTCTCTCATCGCCAGACATATTTCTTCTTGTAGATAACAGTATCGTGCCGTGCCTCATCTTGCA